TGACCCTCAAGGTCGAAGGGCTTTTTCCCGCAGCCATGGCCCGTGAGGCCTGGGGCCAGAACCTGATGGGACCCGGTGGCGACCGAGCCCTTTGCTAGGGGATTTCCAACCCAGAAGTGAGAACCCGGGCAGTTCAGTTCTTGGCTGCCCTTTCCCGAGGTCGCAAATAAATGGCGTGTGCGTCTGCAATTGCGAAGGATATTTCTGCATTCCCCACCCCCCACTCGCTGCTGGTGAGACACACACACACACGTACGCACCCAGACCTAGAAACCCCCGGTAACAGATCAAAATTAAAACTTCCGGGATGTAGCAGCTTGGGCAAGTTATTTCCTTTCTCTGCATACTTTCAACTATTAAATGGAAATAGTTATCAGCTGCCTCATGGGGTTCTTTCACATGTCAATGATATAATGTATGAAAAATACCTGATAAAGAGGAGACCATGAATTTCAAGGTTTCCATAGAATGTCCTCTTTAATGCCTGGGATTATACTAGAGATCTCAGTCTCTCTTGCATTTAGAAGGTGGCCTGAAATTCGTTAACTCTGTCAGACCATGCTTTCTGAGTTTTGGTTTGGAAAATGTGGTCACCAGGTGAGCCGGGAGACTGGTCTGGGCCACGGCCATATGGCAGTCAGAAAGAGGCACTGGAGGCTAGCTTAGAGGAAGAGGGAAGGCTTGCTCATGCGAGTTGGAGGGGCAGGGAGGAGCTCTGTCCTCAGAACTGGCATCTATCTAGAAGGGACTCCTGTCCCTTGGGCTGCCTCTCCCCACCCACCCGCCTCACCACCACACACATTCACTCGGCCCTGTGGAAAGAAGCAATGGTCAGTAGTCATCATTAGGCCTTCCCCACTGGGCAGGCCTGGGGCTGTGCTCCAGACCAGAAGGCTTCCATTAGAGCTTAGCAGGAAAAAGAAAGGTCTTATGACTCAGCTCCATCAGGCCAAAGCACAGAACCCAGGATGTTCACCACCAGCAGGTGGCCCAGGAGGAGGTATTCCAGGGCAAGGCTGGCTGGCAGGGCTGTGTGGGAGTTAAGAGGCCCTGAACCAAGAGGGGCTGCAGATCAGAATCAAGGCCCTTTGGGTGAGGGCTGCGGCTCTCACATTCTACCTGCCTCCAGCGGGCAGCATTTTCCACTTCCTCGAGGTGCAGACTTGAAACAGAGACCTACACCCTCTGCAAAAATTTTACTGAGCCTCCTGGTTACTGACTCTTCCGCTAAAGTCTAAAAACACCTTATGCAATTCCCTATCATAGCACTTATCACATGTACTATAAATGCCTATTTTCATGTTCTCTACTATTTAGACTGACTTACTGGGAGCAGCGTACAAGATTGTTGAGCAAATGAATGAATCTTCCCTCCATTCAGCTCTCAGCCTGGTCCTTAAATGTCAGTAAATAAATAATAACAACATAAGGATAACAATAATGGCTACGATAATGGTGCCGTTTATTAAGCATCTACTCTATTCTAAGCCCTGGGCACGGTGTTTTTAAATACATAATCAAGTTTGTGCTTCAAAATAACCCTATGAGAAAATTGTTATTATCCTCATTTTGCAAAGAGTTGGAGGCTCAGAAAGACAAAGTAACAAAAAGCAAGACTCAGCCCAGATGTCTGCCTCTGACTCCAGTCAATAACTGGTATCCCTCAGATTAAGCTGGAATCCCTTCTGAGATATTGGAAACCACCCCCTTCTGGGAGCAAAAGGCTTGAGACCATGGCACCCCACACCCCCAAGACAGCAGGGAAATGTTCTAACCTCTGACATGAATGACCTCACCCAAATGGTTTCCCAAGGAAGGCTGTACACCTCCAACAGATCAAGAACTGGGCTGCAGGCACCTTATTACAGTGTGAACCACCCTTGGCAGTGAGTTTTACACATAATAAGTGCCCTGAGTTTATTCAGTGCCTTTGCTGAAGCATTCCAAGTACCATTAGCTTATTAATCCTCCCAGCGCCCCTGTGAAGCAAAGCTGGCAGTATTCTAGACTGATTTTATGGAGCATTAGCTCTTTGAGAGCTGGAGCTGTGTGGGCCTGCCATACACAGGGGTTAGAGAAAGATGGAATGGTGTTGTGGCAAAGAAATGAAGACCCTTAGGGAAGTGGTTTTATTCACAAGTAGGGATGCAACCCAGGTGCCTGGTTCCCTCCCTGGGACTCCAGACTGTGTTATCAGGCATCCTTGAATTGCTATTAAGTTGCTGTGTAACTTGGGGAAATTACTTAATCTAGTCTCAAGTTCTCCATTTGTAAGATGGAAAAGGAAACAGTACTTACCTCATTACATAGTTTTGAGCATGACAAGAGTTAGTTATGACACAGGTAGCACCATACTGGACTCATAGTAAATGTTCAATAAATGTTAGCTATTATTACAGTGATTAGAATGATACTCAGCACTGTGAAAATAAATGGGATGAGCTTTGCTACTACTAGCTCTATAGGGTTTATTTCAAAACTACAGGCTCTGCTGTTTGCTATTAGCTTTGTGACCTTGGCCAGATGGCTTAACTTCAGGAATAAACCTCTATCCTCATCTGCAAAATGGGATAGCTCTAAAATGAAGATCTTGAAAGTGCTTTATAACTGTCAAGCACTAAACAGACATTAACAGTGGTTTTGCACTATTACTGTACAGGAACCCCAGCTCTGCCCCTCAAATTCCTAACTTCTAACGTTGCCTCCTATGTAATATGGCCATGGTGATCACCTTTATCTCAGGGAGTGCTTGTGAAAAAATTATATCATTAAATACAACGTATTTAAAGTTCTTAGCAGGTTGGGAGGTAGTCCATAGTTGTTACACTTCCCTCCCCCCAATAAGTCTTGCCTTTCAATGTCTAGAGGAAGCTGCAGGGTGTGGTGGGAAATTTACCAAACCAATAGAGCTGGAATTATTCCTGGCTCACCACTTTGTGACCTTGGGCAAGTTACCTAACCTCTCTGAGCTTTCTGATTTCTTGACTGGCTAACATGAAATAAGGTATGCCTACACTGCAAAGTTTTAGGAAGAAAAAACAGCCTGATGCAGCCCAGGCTCGGCCTCAGAGGAGGGACTTGCCCAATAAGTGGGAGCTACTGACAGACCCACAGACAAGCCTGTGAACTACTCTTATGGAAAGGACTCAGTTGGAAGCAACGACCAAAATTTCCCAACCCGAAACCAGATGGGGTCATGAGCTGCAAAATAAGTGATCCAGGCTCTCCAAAGTTCAGCTGAGCCCGGTAAGTTTCCTCCCAGCGCTGCTTAGCTTGTCTGGACCCTGCTAGAGGACTGGTCAGGAGAAGGCCAAGAGAGGGCTCAACCCCCACCCCCACCCCAAGTGATAACCGGGGAGGGGGAGGCAGGCAGAGGGAGGAAGGAATGTACTGATTCACCGCCCCACCCATCCGCGGCCTCTAATCTCTCTTCCGGAATTTTACAGTCCTCTTTTACCCCGGCGGAGGCCGAGGAGGCAGGGCGCGGGTTACCACCGCTGCAGGGAACACCCCCTACCCCCCGCCGTCGCCTCTTGCCAATCAGCTTCCGCGGGAAGCCCCGGGAGTCGTGCACAGGCCCTGGGCGTTTGCTCCCGGCGGCCGCCCGCAGCATCAGAGCTTGGGTGCGTGCTGCTCGCGGGAGCCCAGCAGGGAGGGAGAGGAGCTGTGAATTCCGGGAGACGTCAAGGCTCGCTCCGGGGGTGGGTCCGTGGGCCGGGAGTTCCCTCCCCCGGTGCCGGTAGCAGCTGGAAAGCTGCTGCTGAATCCTGGCCGGGCCTGGTGCAGGGGAAGGCCGCGGCCTCCTTCAGGATCCTTCCCACGGCCAATCAGCTATCAGGATGCCCCTCTCCACCGCAGTCAGGTGTTACTGGATTTCAGCTGGAAATTCAGAAAGAAAATGACTTCAGGAGCTGGCAGCGAGGGAAGAGGGGAAACTTTAAAAACATGGCTCAACCTCCTTATTTTCTCTTACTAAACACGGGGCAACTGAAGCGCCAAGAAAGCGGGACCTGCTCAAGGCAGTACTCAGAATCAGCGGCGGACTCTTGGCCAGGACTTAAAGCCCTGGCGCTGCCCTGGCTGCTTGGTTCTGTTCACAGCATTTTCTGATACCTTAGACTTAGTTTCCCCGTTTAGAAGCTGGGAAATATCAAGGAATGTTATTAACAAGCGAAACAAGAGCCGTTGGAAGTGAAGCAGCAAATCGCCCAGACAACGAAGTAATGAGGAGGGAATGATGTTCAGAGCTGACACTTAATGAGCACTTACTTTATACCAAGTACTGTTGTTCTAAGCCCTCTATAGGTATAAAGGAGTGTAATTTCACAACCATCCTAGGAGGTGGAAAGTATTACTATCCCCGTGTTACATATGGAGAAACTGAAGTGAAGAACAGCCAAGCCACTTGACCTCAGTCAGCCAGCTAGTATGTGGTGGAGTCAGGATTTGAACCCAGAGAGTATTTGTCCTGAGCCCCACATCCTCAGCCTCTATGCCATCTGTCTGTTTCCCCAATGAGAATGTGGCTACCTCCATTATGGATATTGGTTTAACCATGTAAGCTCTTTTCATTAGGGCAACCTCTTTCAGAGTGACTTAGATTATCTGCTTGTGTATAAATGTTTAATATATGCTTTCTGACTGTGATAATGTTTCTACACACTGAGACTTCAAAGCACCAGGTTAAGTGGGGCAATTGAGGTCACTTTGTGAAATTGAGAGGATTCCATCCCCAGTGATGCACAGTTGTCTTAATTGTGTCAGGTGCTATGGCCAGAATCTTGATCTTCCCCCATTTTATGGGGGCACAGTAGCTCCCATTTTAACAAATGGTAACTTCGAGAACCTGTCTCTACACCAACAGTCCTAACTTGATTACTGCTATGTTTTTTGAGGATGTTGAAAAGGTTATCCTGCCCCGCCACCAAACATACCCTGGGACCTATCCTCAGCTTGTGTACATATAAACTGCACACCTGAAGGTTCCTTTCTTGGCTTAAGGCGAAAATGATAGTCATCTTTTGTTAAAATGCCAACATCACAAGAGAGAAAAACTGGACCTCACCTGCCGTTTTCATGTAATGAAAATTAAAGTATGAGCACCTCCTTGAAAATGAGTTTTGGGAGGAGAGAGTGCAGGACTACGAATTCACCTGACTGAACGTTTGAAGGAACTTCAGAAGTCATCTAGTGCAATCTCTCCCTTTATAGGCCCAGGTCAAAAAAAAAAAAAAAAGGAGTTCCCCAGGCCACTCAGAGATATCAAGGGCCTGAGGAGGGTGGGAGGACCCATTGTGGGGAAGGGAACAGAAGGACAGGCAAAAGGACAAAAGGTTACATTAGCCTCCGTGTCAAAAGACATTTTTTTTTAGTTGTGTTTTAACCTACCCACCCCTGCTTTAAAAATTATATGTGCATTTTATGGTATATAAGTTAGACATTGATAAAACTTTAAAAAAAGAAGACATGCTTCTTATAAAAAAATTTTTAATTAGAGATGAATGCTTTAATAAAGTAAAAGTCCCCCACAACGATACCCAAAGAAGCACTATTAACAATTCGTATTATATTGTTCTTCCCAATTTTTCTCTGTGCCTTCATTTTTTCCTGTGTATTCATATATGCATGCACTTGTGTGTTTAGTAGAAATGGGATTGTCTCTCTTAACAATATGTCTTAGACAGTTTCCAATGTCAGTACATTTAAATCTACTTTATTCTTTAAAGGTTTCCTCCATAGTATGGTTGAACTATAATTTATTTAACAGGTTCCCTAATAATAGGTAATTGGATTGTTTCCATTTTTTTGCTAATAGAAGTAGTATTGCAATGGACGTTTTTGGCACATACATCTTGGAGCCCTTCTAGGAGAATTCTGTAGGATAAATTTCCAGAGAAACTGTTCCTTTTAAAACAACATGCTTCATAGATTATCTTTTTCATCTTATTCCAAATGCCCTATGTAAAAGCCTGTCCCTGATCAAAATCACACAAAGTGCTTAGGATATGGTACACATTAAGTAATGTGCTATTTTTGTGTATTATTTTCATGATTATTATTATTATCATTATTTCATAATATCATTAGTCTGGTGTGGGTAGAAGTTTCTTTCTTTCAGTCAACAATTATTGATGAGTTTCTGCCGTATGATGGGCCTGAGGATCCAACTGTAAACAGATTTAGACCCTGCCCTCGGGAAGCTGACACTCTAGTTGTTGATGGAAGTATCAACACTGTGAGATAAATACTACAAAAGTGGTAACAGCAATGGAGATAAGGGAGTTTATAGGAGGGACAATAACCAGCCTGAAGAAGGGCAGGCGAGAGAAGGGAGATGAAAAAGAAGTAACAGCTTGAATTAGCCAAAGAGGGAAGGCAATGAGCGCCCAGCCACCAGAGGTATCCGAGCAGAGGCCAAGACACTATCTCCGAAAACTACTGGTAGTAGTGGTAAACCCAATTAATGGTTTCTCAAATGTCCATCCTCAGACTGGTGCTTGTGGATGGGAATAGCAGAAAATTAAGGACAAAATGGTAAATTTCATATGCTAAATTTATTTGGTTTAAGGGATAGGCTTTCATTCTGAGACTATAACCTCCCTACTTTTTTTTGGTATTAAAATGTCCTTTCTTTCATGAAGCAGTGGTTGTAGTAAATGATGGTTATTTTTCTTTAATGTTCTTGTTTGGCCAAAGTAAACGCTGACATCCATATCTGGACCCCTCTTCTTACTTTAACTCTTGACTATTGATGACATTTAAGTCTTGGGACCTCTGAGCCAGGTAACTTCTGAGGCTCTTTCCATCCCTCTGTTATAACATTCTCCACTCAACAGTGATTATGGCCTGAAGCTAAATTAAATTTGCAGTCTGTGAGCCAGATCCTTTTCAACAGACCCAAGGAAAAAATAAATACGTAAGTACAGAGTACGTAAAAGAAGGGAAAACAATTTGGCACCCACTGAAACACTTTCATTTTTTGGTTCCCAGACCACATAAGAGTACCTCAAATTTCCATATAGACTTGCTCTCCTGCTCCCAGGAAATGCAGTACTAAAAGAAGAGAAACCACAGAAATAACAGACAGAATTGATACGGGAAAAATCAATTTGGTGCCGTTTTCACAAACCTTTAAAATAGAGCGATTTAAGTGATGATAGGGTTTCAAGACCAGCGGCAGCAGAGCCTCTGATAGGACTGCTGGTGTTCTTCTGGCATTTCTCTGAGCAGGTCAGAGAGGGAGGAAAGTGATTTTTTCCCCCTCCCCTTCCACTTAGAAGAAAATAGAAGCAATGGAAAGCAAAAGTCTCCTATAAGGTCCCATTAAGAGGAACAAATGAAATGCAGCTCCCCTGCAGCCAGAAAACATAAACCCTCAGACAGGCACTGGGCCGGACTTCCCTGCCAATGCTGCAGGAACTAAGTATTCAGCAGCACACCTGGCACTTTGTTACCATGGCAACTCCTCACCTTTTACATTCCTTGACTTGGGGGTTGAGACTGATGCAGGGCAGATTTTAGACTTCACGTTTCTCCTTGGTTTCCGAAAAAGGAAAGGGGAGGAGAAGAAAAGGATTCTAAATCAGCTGACCTCCTGCCGTGGCTATTTGCTTTGTAACCAGGCCTCACTGGTGAGAGGGGCCCGCAGCAAGGTGAGGAGTGGAAATGACTCTGGTGGAGCCCAAAAGACTTAGATTCTAATCCTAGCTCCTCAACTGTGTCCATTTCTTCATTCCAACAAACCCTCCTCTGGGCCAGGCTCTAGCAGTTCGAGAGAGATGACTGAACAGCAGAGTTGGCCCTCAGAGAGCTGACAGTCCAGAGGGAAAGCTGGGTCAGCAGATGACCACAAGCCAGTACGACAAGTGACTTCACAGAGGCAGGTGTTGATTCTATCACTGCCCAGAGAGGTGACCTTGCAGGGAAGGGAGAAATGATATGAAATCCACACTATATTGAAAAGGACTCTTAGGAACACTCTAGCAGGAGTTCCTTTCCCTTGGGACCCACATGAATTCAGCATGAGGACATCAAATTCAGGGTATCAAGAAGTGAGACTCGCACAATGACCTCGGGCATGTCAACTCACTTCCCCGAGCCTCAGCTGCCCCATCTATAAGTGAAAGCTAATAATAACTACCCCACTCCTGTTGAGAAAAATTACATTAATTAATATATAACGATGAAGCAAAGAACAGACAGACCTGGATCCAAACCCTGACTCTCCAATGCCCAACTGAGAGATAATTCTGGGCTTTAACCCCTCTGAGTCTCACTTTCTTCACTTGTAAAAGAGTAACCATCATCCTACATCTCATAAGAGTGTTGCTCGAATTAGAAGGCACTAGTGTACAACAAAATGCTAGTTACTTCCTATTACAGAAGTAGAGCTCCTGGTTCAGCCTCCTGATGCGTCCGTAAGTCAGATATTATTGTTACTATTGTCACATGGCACCTGGTAGGCACTCTGGGAGCATTACTGTCCCAGCCTCCCTGGACCCACTCCTCTGACCACACCATCTTTGCATCCTCTCCAACTTTCACATGTGTTGGCTGTTTCTCTCCCAAGCCAAGGAGGGATCAGTTTAATCTACATCCCTCCCCAGCACCCTCTTTTTCACCTTGGCCTTAGTCTCTCTCCTGGGCTGAGTGAAAGGGAGCAGGCCTGAGCCTGGCCCCATGGGGCTCCTCTGGAGACCGAGGTGGGGGAAAGGCAGGCATGCGTCAGCCCTGATGCAATCATAGGCTCATTGCTTGGCTCACTTCCTCATCTCCGGGTGTTTACCGGAGCCTGGATTCCACAGGAACCCCTGGAAGTCTGTGCTGACAGCAAGAAGAGGCAACATACAAAACTGTCCCTGGGACAGTTTAGGGAGAAAGTGATACCGTGCCCGCCTGGGCCTCACGTGCCCTGGGCTCAGGGACACAGGAAAGAGATACCAAGTGTCGAGTCCAGAGGGAGGTGCAGGGAAGACAGGCTCGAGGAAGGGGAACCAATCACTGGCTACTGCAGGGCCAGCTTCCAGACCAGCTCCAGGGGGCCCAATGAATAGGGCCTTTATCCCTGAGCTTAGAAGCTGGTGGGGACTGGGGGGGGGGGAGGCCAAGGAAGGGGGTCTCAGGTGACGAGGGGGCCTCAGAACAACCTCAGAGGATCCTGTCCCTTCCCAGGAGAAATCCTAGCTGGAGAGAAGCTTGTTTTCCAGTCATTTCCTGAGGATCTTTATCAGGGAGGCCCCTTGCCAATCCCACGGCCCTGCTGGGTCACCTGGAGACATCCTCAGAAGTGCAGAGTCGCACAGGGTAGAGAACACAGGCTTCTGGCAGTCACTTCTCAGCACTTCCAGTTACAGGCTGGTTGCCCCAGGCACGTGACTTCACCTCTCTATCGCTCGACTTCCTCATGTCAAACAGGATTATCAAAGTAGTTGACTTCAGAGATCAAGCCCCATAGGCCCAGAATAGTGCCTCGCCAGGGTGAAAGCTCCCAATAACTGTTTCATATTGTTATTTTTATTAAGACCCAGCAGGAGGCAGAGAGGAAGTGGAGCCCACCATCAGCTGTTTGCTTCCAGATCCAAGCGCTAGGATTCTCTCCTGCTTAGAGAGCCTTTTTTCCCCCTAAAGCTGGGGCCTAATTATCCTTCTCTTAATATCTAATGACTGTTTCCCAGATATCAGGAAAGAATCCGACCACCCCTCCCCCAAAGCAGTGAAACTGAGTAAGCAAAGCTTGCTCAAGCCCCTGAGTCATTCAGCAAAACCGGCCCAAGATAATCAGTGAATCAAGGAAACTAGATGCAGCGTAGGGAAAACCCAGCCACAAAGACGGGGCCTCCTCTCAACGCAGTTCCCTCCGCTGGCCCCAAAGATGAGCTTTCATTCAGGTTGCACAAGCACCTGGCATCTGAGTCCGTCCCAGGCCCTCCTGTACCCAGAACACCAGCTGCCCCTGGTCTCGCCTGCAGCCAGACCTTCACACGGACTCTTGTTTGACACAAACTCTTTGCCCATGGACATACTCTCCACCTCCCGTCGCACACCAGTCCTAGGGAGTCGACACCCTGCCTCCTCCCACCCTCCCTGCCACTCGACACCCTGCCTCCTCCCACCCTCCCTGCCACTCGTTTCTCAGCCCCGCCCCTTGCCTTCAGCCCAACCCCTCGGTACCATCACACTCATCAATGACCTCCTAGTTGCCAAATCCAAAGGACTGTCTCCAGGCCTTTCCTCCTTGCCCTCTCTAAACACTCTGACCGCTGGGCACTTTGACCACTCCCTTCATTAAACTCTCCCCCTGGGCTTCTGTGAAGCTCCAGCCCCTGGTTCTCCTCCTCCCTCTGTGACCAGCACTCTTCGGTAGCCAGGGGCTCTCCCTGCTCAGCATTGCTCCTTGTGGTTCTGCTTTCAGCCCCCTTCCCTTCCTGTCTTCATGCCCCCTCTCAGGTTTAATCTGTACCCAGGTCTTTAACTTCCACCTCTCTGTTGGTCACTTCCCAGACCATATGTCCAGCCCAGATCTTCCCCCAAATGCCACCCAGCAGCTCTACATGCATGCATGATTCCAGGCACAGCAAGCTCAACATGCCCCAAACTGAACTTTCTACTTCCCACCACTCTCCCCACCATACTCCCCACCACTCTCTACTCCCCTGCAGACCTGCCTCTCCTCCTGGGTTCCCAGTCTTGATGGATGACACCACCTTTTACCCTGTTACCCAACCAGAGACTCAGATGTCGCCTTTGCCACCTCCTGGCCCTGCCCACAAATCACCACGCTCTTAACATCTTATAAATCTCCTCCTTCCTCCTCCACCCCCACTGTTTCTGCTTCAGTTCAGGCCTTCATCCCTTCATTGTGACCTGAAGCCTAGATCATTACACGTCTCATAAGTATGCTCTCAGCCTTAATTTCTTCCCCCTTTGTACCAGCCTTGTCTTGGAGTGTTTGCTCAACTGCAGTCTTTTTCCTGAGGACCCACTGTTGCCCAGAGGCCTCGCCGAAGTAGTGCCCTTAGACCCATGTTGACTTCACCAGAGCCTCCCCTGTGATCACCATAGTGTTTGAACCAGAGGTGTACATGTGCCCCAAGCTGAGCTGAATTCTGTCTTCTCGGACTCTGAAACCAGGACAGAGTGACTCTAGTCCAAATGGCGCCAAGGGTCACATCAGTTATGAAAATGAGTAAAACAGACAAGGGAGAGACAAAGGCGAGCAGGCGGTTGTGTCAAACGGAGAGTGCAGGCCTCATCTCATGATAGCAGCTGCTCCAGCAGATGGTTGCCATGGGAATATAGGCCCAGACTTGTCAGATATTCTGATTTTCCGTGTTTTCATGTGAAATTTCCCAATTTTTGAATATTGGGCACTAATTAATTTTTTTAATGCCACTGGCTAAGAATACCTCGTGCGTCCTATTTGACTGATGGGGCTGCCACTTTATAATCAGCACGTGGGAGTCAGGGTTAGGCACAGGACCCAAAGCTGGGGATGGCCACTTTGTCATGTGTACAGAGAAGCAGGGAAAGGTCTCTGTGTAGAGGGAAGATCAAAGGCCATTCCAGCTGGCTGCTTGCCCTCCACTCCCCACTCCAACCCTATACACTATATGTCCATGTTTCCTGGCTCAATATCACTGTCCTCTTTCCAGGACCAGAATGATGTGATAGTTAAGTCATGGGCTCTGAAGTCAGTCAGACCCCCTGGCTGTGTGCTCTTGAGTAACTCACTGCACCTTTCTGAGCCCCAGTTCCTTCCTCTGTAAAGTGGGGTACTTTCTTCGCAGGGTTTTTATTGGGATAAAATGACATATTGTTCAGAAAGCTCTCAGCACAATGCCTGGCTCCCAGTAAGCAATGAATGCACGTTGACCACTATTATTATTATTGCCATTAGTCATAGTCGGATTCCTCCTCACACACTTTCTTGTTTGCCTAACTCTCTGGACATTTATTGTTTGTTCTTATTACTTATCACTGTTTTATCTGCCTTGGTATATTGTAAACTCCTAGAGAAAAAGGCCGTATTTTCTCTCTCTTTGTATGAAAGGGAGGGGAAAGGAAGTAGAGGGTGGAACATGGTGTTTTGTACACAGCAGGTGCTCAAGATATATTTATTTGTTGGTACACTACTGGAACTTAAGCTCCACACAGCAAGGACCTTGTCTATCTGACTACTGTATGCCCTGAGTCTAGTGCTCTGTTGAGCACAGATGGAACCCTCGGTAAACACCTATTGAACAAAAGAATGAAAGGCATCACCTCACCCTCCACCAAGATTCTTTAAACTATCTTAGGAGGTCATTGGTGCAAATCTCAATCCACTGTTTTAAAAAAAAGTAGGTTCTGGAATCCGAGTTAACAGCAACCCATTTTTTCCTTTGGGAAACTGTCCTTCCCCTACTCAATGTGACTGACCCATCTCAGCGCTAGGAATGGTCATGTGATCCAGGACTAGCCAATTAGAGGCAACTACCCCTTGGCCACAGTGATTGGTTCAAGATGGGCTTATAACTCAATCAAAGCCAATCAGAGCTGAAAGGAT